GTTTGCTAAGAGCTGAGAGATTGGTGGAATAGGGTACAGATGATCTTGGATAGCTTTGTTTAACGTTGCCTTATAATCACCGCAAATTCGTATTTTACCATTGCTTTTTACGGAAACAACAATTGGTGTGGCCCAATCCGATACCTGAACAGGTTCTAACACTCCTTGATTAACTAACTTATTCAGCTCTTCTTCTACTGGGGCCTGCAATGCATAAGGTAAAGGGCGCGCTCTTAAGTGAATTGGGTTATAATTCTGGTCAATTTTCAGTTCGATTGGAGGTCCTTTATAGCACCCTAAAGAATTTGAAAATACATCGGAAAATTCACTTTTCAGATGTTGAACATCCAGCTGAGCTTTACTAAGAACTTCAGATTCATGACAGTTGATTGAAAGTACTCCGTTTACTTCAATGTTAAGACTTTTTAGCCAATTACGCCCCAATAAACTATTTCTATTACCTTCAGTTATGACTAACGGAAGGAAACCATTGAACTTACCGTATTTCACATAAACATTAGTCTGACCTAAAACACTTACAGGTTTACCACTGTAATCCTTGAGTTTCCAAGGAGAAGGTTGCAGTTTACAGTTTTTATGAGAAATTGTATTCCATAGTTCTCCTCCTATGATAGAAACACCTGCACCAGTATCAACTTCCATTAGAACTTTGTGATTATTTATGTTGACAGTTGTATACAGTTCCGGTACTTTAGTGCAGTTAACTTCCTGGACGTATTGAGTTGTTTCGTTATTTGATTGAGGTGGAAACGTTTCTTCTTGTTCATAATTGGTTTCCTCTGACAAAACTTCATGAGCCCGCTGTCCCTTTGATCCGTGTTTTTGGCTAAAATATTCTTTGGGGCGTGGTTTCCCTCCTTTACAAACTCGTGCTAGATGCCCAATTTTCTTACAAATATTACAAGTAGTCTGAAGATGGGGACAATCCCTTCTAAAATGTCTTAGTCCACAACCAAGACAAACATTAGGTGTAACAGAGTGAGCTGGATTGTTGTTAAATGCAACAAATTTCCTGTTTGAATGGTCAATTTTATGTGCATTAGCAAAACTTGAGCTACTGAAAGAAAGTTCCTTACTTTGAGTTTGAAATAATTCATTTGACTTAGCTGCAATAACAACATCCTGAAGTTTAATAGTAGGTTCTTTCAAAATTTTATTCCTTAACTCATCACTTCTAGATCCAATCAAAATTTGCATAATTAATTCCCTATCCAAGTCTTTGAATTCACAGTTCACAGCTAATGTTCTTAGTCGAGAATAGAAAGAGTTAAACGACTCTGATTCTGCTTGATGACACTTCCTAAAATTAAATATTTCAAAAAGGACATTTTTGGTAGGAGCGAAATAGTCAGTTAATAGTTTTATAACATTTTTGTACGTTATTTCATTAGGTTGTGGTAAACTGTCAAAAATGTAAGCCACTTCCTCACCAGCTAGATTAAGTACTAGTGCAGTTTTCCTTACATCACTGGTAATGTCTGCAGCTAAAGCATACCTCTCAAATTGCTTAATCCATGTACCCCAACGCTGTGCGACACTTGCAGGATTTGTATGGGGGTCAAAACGATCAGGCTTATTGAGATCCATTATCCAATTATCCTCGTCGCCAGTTTAGTAAATTAAAACATAATTAACACAACTGAATTTATCGAACTCACAAATCAGACTAAACTAAAAAGTAAACAAAACATAATAATATAAACAGTCATCTGACAGATGTTATAAATAAAACATATGGACTTATTTCTTGATACATAACACAATCATTAATCGTGGACAGAATCTTCCACAAAAGATAATTACAATATAGTTTAACACCCTAGAACTCCTTAGAGTAACATTAAAAAAATATTTTTGTTAAGGCTTCGTCATAATGTAAAAAATACTCAATACAACAAATTCATTAATTTTACATAAGTAAACGTTGATAGTTGTATGCGTATTGTATTTTTTATATATCTTCTGTATACATCTAGTCCTTTATATTTTCTGTGTACACAAATGCTTTTGTATACAATTTATTTTGCAACTCACAATAACTGAGAAATATGTTAAACCGGTGAACTGTTTTTATAAATTTTGCCATTATTTCTCAACCCGTGCTTAGAAAATTAGTGACTCGTGGATAAAGCCATCGACATATAAAACTAACTGGATCGGCTGCTAGGCTCCGCGACCCGAACCAACGACCGGGGTTGCGTTTTAGATTTTGCAGGCGTCATGTGGGATAAGCGTCTCGCTGCGCCACATCTTAGCATTGTCGCGGCCAGGACGATGCACTTTATCCAGCCCTTTACTCTCTATTAAAACGATGTAAGGCATTTTAATAATCAATTTTCATGAACTTTTGTACAAGTAATAAAAGTGTAAAAATAACACTGTAAATAACCGAGTTTTTTTAGTTATTAATTACAACAATTGATAAATATTAACTAACGGCGGATATTTCACACTGAGGTTCCTTAAGAAATATAATTTAAATTCCGATTTTAAATTTTTAAGGATGGAATCTATATAAATATATATTAGATACAAATAAGTTATCGTTGGTGTTGCACCTTATTACAGCCGTATTCAATTTAATTGATGTCTTAACTGTACCTATAAGTTTTGCTTTTTCTGTCTGGATTCCAAAATGTTCGTTTATGCTAAGACAATGATAACTCATTTTAGTAAAACATTTGTTCAGCAAACCATCATGAATCGTTACGATTTACGTTGTTCATGTATCAATAGTTCGTGGCCTATTTTGGTAATTTGTATTATAAATTACCAATCTAAATCGTCTAATAGTACTTCATTTCATATTGTAAGCCGTCATTTTGACAGTATCGGGTCATCTTCGGTCTAAGCAAATATAAATTGTTATGATAAAATTTTATGATTTTGAGAAAGATTTCAAATACTAATTTTATATGTACTTGTTATGCTTGAAGCGTTGCAAATTCCTTAATTAAGTTCTATATTTTTGTGTGTATGTCTGTTGCTAACGCATTAGTGTCCTTTTTCTCAATGTCACGAAAAAAAGGTAATGAAAATGTCAACCCGAATAAAGTGTTAAATGGTGAGGTTGAGGCAATAGTTTAAATACTTTTAGCCATTGTGGAACTAACTTTCAACTATAGACTTACCTTAGGGATATGCCTCATAGATCTAGGCCTATAAAGCTCTTTTTAGTTTAATCATTGGATTTAACATATGGACCAACACGAGCCGCGTGACATTTAATTGCGAAGCATTTGTTTTGGCTTGAAACAATCAGATACTGTATTTGCGAAGGTTTATTAGGTAATAGTTTTTCCAGCATATCTGAAAATATGCAAACCAACTGCTGTTCTTAATATAAGAAGGTTTCAACTGACTACTATAAGATCCCCGTGCGTAGAACGGGCACACAGCTAGTAAAAGTAATAAAATATTACAATTAAGAAACCTTTACGACTTTGTTCTTTCTTCACTTACTACTCTAACGAAACCAATTATGTTTCAATGTAACAATACAAAATAGTTTATGTTAAAATGGGTTTTATCAGTTTCTCGTAAAATACCAAATATTCCGGGGTAAGGTATTAGTAAGAACGAGGTTAGATTGTATAAGAACATTATATTTAGGAAACTTTGTAAAACAAAGAAACATATTTAGCCTAAACATTGCTAAAAAGAATAAGCTTATTTAACTTCTGCCGCATACCAAGCTTTGACAGAGAAGCTTCTGCTGTTTTACGCTTAGAAATGCTGTGGCATATAATTTTGTTAAACATAATACCAATTAATTTGATTAATTTCATGTCATGGCTTTCCTCGCCAAATATGATTAAGAAAAACGTTACCAGCAAAGGTTCTACATGCTAACAAAACAAAGGAGGTTATTGTAACACGCACGTGCGCCCAAGTTCAAGTGTCGAAGACACGGTTTCGCGCGCTTTATCCCACATGCTGCCTTCAATTTGCCCATGCGGCAACCCCGATACACTCCTGTATTGGCTCGGAAAGTTCTACACGACCCTTACGGCCTGCGCGCAATCCAGTTAGTTTTATATGTCGATGGATAAAGCCAGATACCAAATTTAATCTAAATCGGACCACAGGTTTTGTCTGTAGATCTGTATCTGGATCATACAAGAAGTGTGTATTATATTACCTGATATTACTCAAAATATGTTTTATTCTATAACGTTTAACTAAATTAAACATTAAAGTCACGCTCCCTCCATTTTTGAAGTATTCAGTACAAAAATGAAATAAATTTACTTGCGCATACTTATTTATTTCGTGTTAATAAATAATTGAGGTGATGCAATTCACTTATGTAGGCAGTCGCAGCAGTCAAAGCCGGGCATAGCGCCTAGAGTTTCACGAACGCAAACCGCGCAACGAGTAGCTAAATGAGCCGTAGAGTAAGTGAACCATCTAATATTTTGAAGAGGGTTCACTTACTCTACAGCTCATTGTGCCAATGATCTGTAGTGTAAGTGAGCCATCTAATTTTTTTCTGCAGGCTCGTATAGTATACGAGCCTATTCCTATAATTTATATTGATTCATGATTTTGGCTCGTATACTATACGAGCCGATTCCTGAATTATCAAATAATTCGTACGCTTGGCTCATAGTCACTATGATCTGTAGAGTAAGCGAACCTTCCTACTGTATTTTTAAATATAATACACGAGGCTCATAGGCACAATGATTTGTAGAGTAAGTGAACCCTCTTCATTTATTTTTTATTTTCGATAGGCTCGTATAGTATACGAGCCTGTAGTGCAAGTGAACCTTCAATATTATTTACAAAGCTCGTATAGTCTATGATCTGTAGAGTAAGTGAGCTGTCCCCGAGAGGAAGAAGGGGGTAAGTCGTTGTGTGAGGGCGAGGGCCGAGGGGGAAAATGTAGCGGCGGGGGGCGACAGCAGCTGGCGATAGCTCGAAGCTCGATAGCAGCTGTTTCGCTGTCACACGACGACACGATCCCCACGGGCCACGATCGTGTTTGTTTTTTTGTTTTGTTGTTGTTGTTGTTGTTGTGTTGGAGTTGAACGACGGAGATCAACAGTTTTGGTCTTGAGATTTGAGGTTAGGCTTGTTTGAAACTTTAATTAATTAGGCCCAGCTTAAATTTTATTCGATTGGATTGTATTTGTGTTTTGTTATGTTGATTGAATTACAAGTTACAAGCAAAAATATAAAATTACGCCAATTAAATTTAAGTTTTCCTGTTTTAACTTAGATAACGTATAAAAAAATATATAAATAAATACTAGGCCTACTAAATGTATTTAATTTTGAGAAATACCTTGTTATATTGTTTTATGTTTACTTATCTAGTCATGAGTGGGGATAGCAAAAAGTGTCATTCGTTCTATCGTGATTCGAAATACTACTTGAGTACTAAAACCCCTTACAGTTACATTGCCAACAACACCGATGATCCACTTTATTTTAATGGTAAGTTACTTAGTCTGCCATTTCAATTTGTAGCCTAGGCCTAGTATTCGAATAATAGGTAATTAAGTGTATTATGGTGACCAAGGGAACCTATAGAAATGTATATATCATTAGAAAGTAGATTTTACCTAAAAACAATTGTGAAAAAATTTCTCTGCTGTAACAAAAACTGAATAAACTTTTAAGTTAGGATACTGTAGTTTGAATTTATAGGCTAGATGACCGAAGTGTCTAATTTGAATGTTACAATCTTCTATTTTTAGATGCAGTATTTTACTCATTGTGTTCTGAGTCCTGTAGGCTAGGCTATTGAAACTCCGTAATTCTTAAATCTGTTAGCAGTCCTTTGTGTCGTAGTCCCCGTGTAGCTAAATGTGACATATCTGTTGTTTCCTCTTTTACCTCTTCTAATGTTGTTCTGCTGTGTAGTTTATTCTGGCTATTGATTTGTATCCTCGTCTTTCTTGCGATGTCCTCTATTGTCTTGGTTCAAAATCCATTAACTTGTGTGATCTTCTTAATGGTATCCAGTTCTTTCTTCCTATTGGCTTGGCTAAGTGGGATCTTATATGCTCGGTACAGCATGGATCTAAAGGCTGCTGTCTTATGGATTGTCGGATGGATAGACTTGCTGTTGATTGTACTTAGTGTCCGTTTGCGTAGGTTTTCTGTAGATGTCAAACTCGATCTTGTTGTCTTTTCTCTCTAATGTGAGGTCCAGGAAGTTGATGTTTTGGTTTTCTTCAAACTTGTTGGTAAAGTTGAGGTTGGTGGCTGTTAAGTGTCTGCATCATCGTTTCGTGCTCTTGCTCCTGAGATTGTCTGAAGATAACAAGAATGTCGTATATAAAGGGGAGAGCATATTAAATGTGGAATTGACTCTAAAACTCATGAATATCAAATTAAATTTAGACAGAATAGAAATCTAGTGTTTAATTGAATCAAGGAAAAACACAAAGGCAATAATCAAATATAAAAACATAAACATATGACTTAAATAAAAATAATAGTCACATGCTAGCTTATATACAGATCATGAGTGAAAGTCCAACACTCCCTCTCACGAATGACTTTGGTGAAGCTAGGCCTATTTAAGTCCAAGTTGTGTCACATGTCTTTCAAAATTAGGGTTTCCAAGAGCTTTGGTAAGAACATCAGCCGTCATTGATTCTGTAGGAATTTACTTCAGTTCAATAGATCCTTCTTCAATTTTTTCTCGAACAAAGTGTAATCTAATGTCTATATGTTTTGATTTTGCACTGACAACAGGATTTAGGCTATGTGTTGCGCTGCTTGATTGTCATTGTAAATTGTTATCTTCTCATGAGAATCTCCCATATCATGAATTAATCTTAAAAGTGAAGTGATTCTTTAGTAGCTTCTGTGATAGAGTAAAATTCTGCTTCAGCAGTTGAAAGAGATGTACTCTTCTGTTTTCGAGATGCCCAACTAACACTTCCATTTGCATACATAAAACAATATCCTGTGAATGATTTTATGTTTGTTGACGAAGATCCCCAGTCAGCATCAGCAAGTCCTGCAAGTGGTTTGTTTGATTTTCCAAATACCAGTGACTTATCTTTTGTTCCTTTGACTTATCTTAGCACACGCTTTGCAGCTTTCCAGTGCTCTTCAGAATAACTATTGTTAAATTGACTCAAATAACTGGACGCTATATGCTATGTCGGGTCTCGTTGCAACTGCTAAAAACATCAGACTTCCTATCAGACTTTGATAAGGTTTGTTAACTGTTTCATTTAGTGTCGGTTCATTTAATTTCACTTTAGGATCCATGAGAGTTCCAATTGGTTTACAATCAGTCATATAAAGCTTCTTTAAGATATCATCAATGTATTTTGATTGATTTGCTATCAGTTTTCCTTCTTTTTGTTCAAATTTTATTCCTGAGCAATGGTTCAAATTACCTAGATCTCGCAATTCAAATGACTTCATCAGTTTGTTTCTTAATTTTTGAAATAATTCTTCATTCTTAGATGCAATGATCAGGTCATCAACGTATACTGCTATTATTTCATCTTTTGATTCACATACATAAATCATGGATCAGCAAGTGAAACCTTGAAACCCAACTCTTTTAATTTAGCATCCATTTTGAAAAACCATCGTCTTCCAGCTTGTTTAAGACCATATAGTGCCTTGTTGAGATGACATATTTGTTGATCTTCTGGAATTTTGTTTAAATCAGTTAACATTTTCTTTGCTTGCAGTTTTATTTCGTTGTTTTCCTTGTTATCATCTATTATTTCTTTGAAGTAGCTCTTCAAATTTGGTGGTACTTTCACGTAAATATTTTCTTTTATATCGCCATTTAGGAAAGCAGTAGATACATCCAATTGATTCAATGTCATATCTCTCTCCACTGCAATACCAAGCAGTAGACGTAGGCCTACTGAACTCAATTTTACTACATGTGCAAATGTTTCTTCGTAATCAATATGAGGTCGTTGAGAAAATCCTCGTGCTACGAGACGAGCCTTTTTTCTTTCTAATGAGCCATCTGCATTGAACTTTTCTTTCAGTACCTACTAGTTTGCAATCTACAACATTTATGTCTTTCTTTTTGTTAGTTATGTCCCAAGTTTTATTTTTCATGTGAGATATTATCTCTTCTTTAATAGATTCATTCCAATATTAGGGATCATTTTTTGTTTCAGAGCTATCATCATCTGTTGGATGTAGATACATTAGTTCTCGGATCATCTTTGTGATTATCGTTGTAGCTCTCAATTGTATCTTCATTTGTCTCATTATGGATATCTTTGTTTGAATGATCATGTTGGTGTAGAGTTTCATTCTCAATTGTGTCTTCATCACTTTCTGGTATCTCATTTTGGACATCTCTGTTTGAAAGATCATCTTGGTGTAGAACTTCTTGGTGTTTTTCATTTGTTTTCTTGAAACTCACTGTTTTGTATTCAAGTTTTTGTAGGGGATCTTTTGTGTTCTCTGCCGAGTCATCGTTTTCTTCTTGATTTATTAAATCATAATCAAAATGTACATTTATGAATTAAGAAATTGCCGAAGAATTTTGACATCTCGACTTTCAATTACATTTTGAAAATCAGGAACCCATATTCTGTATGCTCTGGAGATCTCTGAATATGCTTAACAAAAATTCCCTGTATAGCTCGAGGAGCAAATTTACTTTTAGTTTGTTTCTTGTTCAGCACAAGGGCTTTGCTTCCAAAAACATGAAGATGATTTACAGATGGTATTCTTCCAACCCACATTTCAAAAGGTGTTTTGTGATCGATTGCTCTTGATGGACATCGATTCCGCAAGTAGTTTGCTGTGTTCAATGCTTCAGCCCAGAACATTGGAGCAAGTTTCGACTCTGTCATGAGACATCTTGATTTGTTAAGTAGTGTTCTGTTAAGTCTTTCGGCAAGACCGTTTTGCTCTGGTGTATAAGGAGCTGAAAGTCGTCTTTGAATGCCATTGTCTTGTAGATATTTCTTAACACGTTTGCGGCGGAACGTCAAATGGCGGGCGTATCCCCAGTGCGGCGCAGCCCTCAGCGTCAAACAAACCTGATTGCTGCGTGTGATTGGCTTTCTAATTTCAGTCTGACGAATAGCAAATGACGTGCGAGGATGTCCTGCTTTACAACGAGAGTCGACGTAGTTCGCTAAACACCCACAGATGGCAGCACTGCTTGGAACATAGCCGGTCCCGTTGGAATTGTATTGCCAAATGGAGGGAAAAAGACGAAACAAAAAGTAGATTTTTGAGATTGCCAGACGGGGATTTTACGGGGAAATTTACTACCAACCTACACAACACCAAATACAGTATACTATTGAGCAGTGCTGTGCAAGGTTTCAAGTTTCTAGCTCTAATCCTGGCTTAAAAATAAATCATTTCGTACTGCATTGCAGCTTGGGAGCGATCGCACCCACCAGGATGGCATTAGGGTTCTGTATGGGAGCGATCGCTCCCATGCCGCCGCGAACGTGTTAAATGCATCGCTACAGTATTCACCACTATTGTCCGTTTGTAGAAACTTAATCTTCTTGTCTTTGAAGTTTTTCCATTTCATTTTTGTATATTTTGAAATATTTTAGAACTTCATTCTTGTGTTTGAGGAAATAAACTTTACTATAACGGGATTTCTCGTCAGTAAAAGTTACAAAGTATTTAGAACCACCTGGCAATGTGACTTTCATTGGTCCACAAACATCAGAGTGTACTATTTCCAAATAATCTAATTCCTTTAAATCATTTTGTACTGGGAAAGGCAATTTTGTCATTTTCGACTGATACTTCACAATCACCGAGTTTTTCATTTGGATTGAAGTCAAGTCCCTTAATTGTTCCATTTTTAAGAGCATGTTTTAAATCGCTTTCATTTATGTGTCCAAGTTTTAAATGCCATTCATTAATTTTACAGCTGTTTGTAACAAGATTGGCATTTTCAAAATCATCAAATTCAACATAGTAAAGACCATTTATTTTGGTTGCTTGCAAATACTCTTCATTTTTTAAGTTTCTAATTACAGCTTTATTTTGATCAAAGGTTACACTACATCCTTTTTCAGTGATTTTGTTTGTTTGTTGTTAGATCTGGCACATGCAGTGTGTCTAGGATGTTAACAACTGAACCATCCTTAGTAAGTTTTACAAGTCCCTTACCTTCGATTGATGTACCTAGTTTGATTTTTTGATGCAAGTTTGATTGTGTGATTAGGAGAAGTTTTTGAAAGTTCAACAAAGTTGTTAAGGCCAGATTTATTTAAGTTTCAAAACCATTTTATTTTTAATCCCCTTTGCTTGACCAGAATAATTTCATTTTATTTCCCCAAGACCTACAGCCAGTTTACCTATCCATCCTATACCAGTATTCAAATTTGCCGCCATACCCCACTACCTCAAATCAAGAGTCACCTGGGAAGTCCACTGGGTCACATGACTTCACTTCTTCAATATGGCTGGAACAGCAGGAATCTACAGTATGAGGTACTCCTAATTTTAGCAAATCC